CAGAGAAAGGGAACCAAGAAGGTGTCTACAGATGAAGTCACTGCCTCCTAACCAGAAATCAAACGTAACATGCAGATGGCCATCAGCAAAGGTGAGTCATCGTGTGGCAAGGCCAGGCTGCAGTCATCACAGTGTGAGCCTCATAATCTGGTTTCTTAAAGATCTCTTCTGTTCAACCAGTCTGGGTGCAGGATCAGGAGACTTCCCCTGCTGCATTCCAATGCCTCTCTTTCTGGCCTCATCACCTGTGAAAGGCTGATCCTGAAAAGCACAACCCTCACCCCCAGATCCAGTCCTGACTCCAATCCTTCCCATATTATGGGAAACAGGAGCTTTTGCATTCCATGAACACTGGAGTCCCTAGTCCCAAAGCAGGTGCTGTGCCCTGCTCCTGCCATGGCCCTGTGTCCTGCCTGCTCCACTGCTGAGGGCCAAACGGGCTCCAGGAGGGTGGGAGGACCTGCATACACACTTGCACATCTGGAACCTGCACAGCCCTTCATTCCTTCTCCCCATACCTGACCCTGCCCTAAGGTTCCTTGCCCATTCCTCTTGGTATCTCTGCTGCCCTGACAGTCCCGTTCTGCTGCCTGTGGCCTCCAACCAGCCTTCTGGGAGCTGATCAGGGCTGTGGGGCCACCCTGGGCCACCCCAGCACAGCCACCCAGGCAGAGCAAACCTGCAGCAGCCAGGAGCTGCTTCCAGCTGAACATCCCATGCCTCCCGAGGGCAACTATCTCCCAGATCTGACTTTCAGGCACTTCCCACTTAAATCCTAGTGGCCAAAACGTGTTTTTTTCCCCCACTTTTAGCACTTTTTTCCCCCACTTTTAGCACTGTTCTCCACAAACCTCATGTCCTGCCCACAGTACTGCTGGGCAAGCAGTCAGCTTACACAGGTGGCTACTGTCAGGCTTCCCCAGGTCGATACAAACTGCCTGTGCAGCCGAGCATCCCAACAGGCAAGGAGGGAAATCCCATCCTGCGGGATGAGTGTGAAATGCCGAGGCACAGACCCAAGCTCAGCACTGCAGCAGGGCTGCTCAGCATGGGCTCTGCACCATGTGATGGCAGGGGCCACATCTGGAAAGGAGAAGTCTCACAGAGAGCAAACCAGATTTCTGCCAGTGGATGAGTGAGCAGAGGCCACGTTCTGAGCTGAAGGCACGCGGGTGACAGCGGCAGCACACGGTGACGGCAGTGGGGACAGTTGCGCTCACAGCTCAGGCATCTCCCCAGCATTCCCTATGCCACAGGCAGGAAAGCCTGGATCCAGCCCGCCCTGCTCGCAGAGGGGCGGGGCCACATGTCTCCCAGTCTCCTCCCAGATCTGTTTTCTCAGTCATAAAAAATTATGGCTGGGTTCCAAGTTTCAGAGGAAAGAGGAAAAAAATGTCCAACATACAGTAATATTTAGGAACATCCAAGAGGATTTTAGTTGCATGAATTCAAACCCACAGTCTGCCTGTGCAGAAAAATGACTGACTGAGCCCGATGAAACCTGGGCATTGGGTCAGGAACGCAAAGCTGAAACAGGCTCTTGCTGTGGCTCCAGTTGGGAAAAGGATCCAGAGAACTCCTGCATCCCTACAGCCTTCCCTTCCATGAGCACAGGGCGAGAGGGGACAGAGCTGTCACTGTCACCTTCCTTGGGTAATTTTTTTTTCTGTGCACAGTCTGATCCCTGCCCAAGCCACCCAAACACAGGGACACAGCCTCCAGCTGGCCTTGACACCAATGCCAGCAGTGACTGCCCACCTTCTCCAGAGGAGAGTGAGAAGCAGGAAAACATCCTGAACACAGACAGGGCTGTGCACAGGCTCCTGCTCCTGCACAGGCAGGGACACACAGACTGTGTTCACTGGGACATGGGTAATGCCCTGGCACCAAGAGGGCTGCTCTGTATCTGTGCACTGCACATCCCCTTGCCCACGCCCTCACGGAGAGCACAGTGGGCAGCCCCTGGGAAGGGGGGAAAGCACAGGGCAATGGCACCCAGGTGACCTGGGAAAAGGACCTGAGTGACCAAGGACACTGGTGACACCATCAAACTCTGCCCCTGGAGGTCCCAAAGGAGTGGGGCAGGGCAGGACATCGGTCCTCATGCTGGCTGGGTCCACCCCTGCTTAAACCAAGCACTTCCAGTCTCCCCCCTCTCCTCTCTGACACAGACACTGGGTTCACTGGAGTGTTCGGAAGGCAAAAAGCAGTAATGTCACAAAGGCCACCAGTGTCAGTGTGGCACACAGAGCCCACTCCCGTCAGCAGCACCCACACAGCCAGAGGCAAGGCAGGGATCACAGGGAGCAGCACATGGGGAGGACACAGGGCTGGCCAGGAGCAACCTCACCCCAACCTCACCTGGAGCAAAACCCCAGTGCTGGCACCAGCATGGGGCAAATCTGGGTGAAGAGGGCTCAGAATGGCCCAGGGGCTGCCCCAGGGGCCACGGGCTGCCTGGGGACTCAATCCTGCCTTTGTGTCAGAGAACATAAGGTACCAACAGGCCTTTGCTTACCATAACAATTGCAGAGGAACTGAAAGCCAAAAACAAAACAACCTCCCCAGCACTGCAGCTCCAAGGCCAAGATGCTGCTCACTGGGAACAGCTCCAACACTTTTGGTTCAAACCCATGGCACTTATTTGGCAGCTGGACATGGCTCCTGCTGCCTCCTCAGGCTGCTCACAGCCAGACTGGTCAAAATCCAGTGTTATTGTTACCAACACTCTCTGGGGACCAGCCCCAGTGAACACGGTGTTACAGGTTCTTTCAAGGGGCAAGTGCTCGTGCTGCAGGAATTACTGCAAGTGTTATAGGGTTGCAAAACAAGACACTCTCATCAGGAAGAAGCATCCAGCAGCCCTTAACAGAGCCTCCCCGGCTGAACACAGCTACTGCTCTTGGTCTATTTTACACTAAAAAAAATACTATTTTCCTTTTGAGAGAAGTGTGGTGGCTTGACTCCTTCCCAGGTATATCCAGCTTTGATCACAGCATTCCTACAGACATCAGCCTCTCCTGGCTTGGAGAAAGAGCTGGCAAATGTGCCTGCACACTGGGGACATCTCCCTGTTTCCCAGGCTTCCCAGTACATGGAAATGCTCATGTAGTTGGAAAGGAGTCACTGAGGCCAGAGAGCAGCAGGGAAGAGGCCAGTCATCTCCCACACTGCTTGCCAGCTGCTGGCTGTCCCACAAACCCTGTGCCATGCCAAGGTCTGAAAAACACAAACTGAACTGGAACACTTTTGTTCATTTAAAAGTCCACTCAAGTCTGGAGCTGGCGATGGAGCTGCACAAAGAGCAGAGTGCATACGGAAAGACAGACGGCAGAAAGGAAAACCAAGGGGCTACAGAAGCACTCACCCACTCACAGCCCAAGGGAAAGGAAGCAGACAGACACACCGGGAACTGTCATGGTATAACCACACCAACTGCCGGAGCAGAGCCAACCACCTACCCGTGGCTCTAAGAAAAGGGGAGAACATTAATTCCTGAAATTATCACTCACTGAACTCGGGAGGGGAAAAGGTGACAGTAATTTTTCAAGAACTCTATCTGCAGATATGACACACACCTCAGAGTGTAGGGGCAAGGCAGTGACAGCCCAAACCCCACAAAGCCATGCTGTCCAAGTTCCTGCAGTCTGGGATGCAAAAGCAGCCTCGGGTCAGACAGTTCACACTGCTCTGGCTCCCACCCCTCCTGGCCACCCCTCTTTGCTGCTGCCCTCAGCATCCCACACCTCACCAACACACCAAACTGGGCAGCTCCAACCCAGCCTCTTCCCTGCAAGGAGCTCCACACACTCGTCAAGAGTGTTGAGAGCAGAGACATGGCTCTGGCCCCTCTCCAGCCTCACAAGGTCTTTATTTAACAAACTGCCCTCTTTCACCACATTTTGTGGGTCTGGTGCTTGCACAGACTTTGCTGCACCATAGCATCAGTCTCCAAGAACAGATCTCACCTGTACTATCCTGTTCAGCTCAATGAGTTTCTACCTCTGCTAGAAGGGCAGTGAGAGAAAAAGGTCAAATGCTCTGCAATCCAGACTCTGCACTTACACAGATCAGTCAGGGCAGACAGGTTTGCCTTGGACATCACAATCAGATAAAACCCATCTGAGAGCTGTGACCTGGGCCAGATGGGCACTGTACCTTAAAAGAGAGATATTTTCTTTTTTTTCTCCTTGGTGGTAGATCAAGAGAGTTTGTAAGACAGTATTTTTCAGCATATAGAATAAAGCATAGATAAATAAGTAACAAAAGTTAAATACGGGCACTGAAATCAAAGTTACATTGACAGCAGCAGGCACATAGCTCCCTGAACAAGGTACCCTCAGCTCACATGAGAGCAGAGATGCATTTTCAAAGCAGCCTGAAGCACAGAAGAAGTGTTTAAAAGCCTCAGAGAGCTTCCAAATTCACCACCCCAGCTTTTCTCCCTGGGATGGGAGGGCAGCAAACAAGCAGGACAGACTCTCAGGAGCCACGACTCAGCCCCAGCAATTTCCACACAGCTGCTCTACTCCTGCCGCTCTCCAGAATCACGTTCCCCTGGAATTAAATTCTGGCACACTTTGGAATTAAAGAGGTTTGCAATAATCACTGTAATTCTGCTCTGCAATAACTCCTGTGACATAATCTTACCAGAGTAAATGGATTTCTTGCAGACCTGCACTCCAACGGCACTGCTCCCCCTGAGTGCTGGGTTTTTTTGGAGCTGCTGGAAGGCACAGAGCTCCTCTCCACTCCAGCACCACAGCCCTGGCAGCAGCAGAGGAACCCAGCAAAAAATGGGAATGCGGTCACTTTGCCACAGCCTGGACACCTCTGCTGACACTGCCAGCAGCAGCGCCCCATCCAGAGCTCGGTTCCATCTGGGAAAGGGGTAATCCCATGGAAAACAGGCTGATGACAGGCAGGGCCATGCCGAGCCAGGCCTCAGGAGGGGGTGAGGTCCTGCAGGTCCCACAGATACAGCAGCTGATCCCACTCACCGCCATGTACGGCCGGCACCCCGCATCCCGCGTTTTGGCAATGGAGTCCACGAGCTGTCCACTAATGCCAAAGTCACAGAGTTTAATATTCCCATTTCTGTCCAGAAGAATATTGGAAGGTTTGATGTCTGCAGGGGAAAGAAATTTAAAGCAGTAAGTCACAGCTGGAGGTTTCGATTTCAGGAGCAGCAGCTGCAGAGGGTCGAGGCCCGCACCCCTTGGCAATGGATGTGCTCGCTGAGGATCCTGAGCGGGAGCACGAGGAGATGGAGGCAGTCCCAGAGATGCCCCATGCCTGGGGGCAGAGGCAGATGCCCATGCCCAACCACCCTGAAATCACACTTACGTGGAAAAAGCAAAGGCTGAAGGGGCAACAGAACAGGCACTGGAGACACCTGTGCAAAAGCTGCACAGACTTGTGGCAGTGCATGTGCTATTCACACTTTGACTGAAGCAAAAGCTGTTTACAATTCTTGCAATTATTTTCATAGACAAGAAGAAAAGATGTGAACTCACCTCTGTGAATGATTTTCAAGTTTTCTTTTAAGTGGTTTAGTGCTTTCACAGTCTAAGAAAGAAAAACAGATGAAAAATTAGCAGATGTCCTAAGAGCCTTGGGATTATTAAATTTTTGGAGCTCCGAGAACAGAGGAAAAAAACATTCAGTATGTTGAGATATCACTCCTGTAATATGCCATGTAATAAAAGCATTTTTCTCTGAACTTCTCCTGCAAAGAGATAGTGATATAAGAGAGAGGATGTGCTTAAGTGAACACACATCCCCCACGACCTGGAAAGATCCCACTCTGGGAGAGGGGAACAAGGGGTGAAGTCAAAACAATCTCTGATATTAATTATCCTGAGCAGTAACTTATTTCAAGCCCTATGCTGTATTTTTTCAGTAGGTAACAACTGTTCCCATTCCTTGACTTTTTACTGGGCCAGGACTTGAAAACATCAGTCAGGTTCTCCACTCGCTGAAGAGTCTCCTGCGCTTTTGGGAGTCTTTGCACGAGGCTGCCAGAGTCTTCTCTGGACTGGAGGGGCCCAGCATCCCCTGCAGAAACCTGGTGGACCTGACAGATTTTTACAGGCAGCAGCAGGACAGAGATTTCAGGATACCCTTCAAAACCACAGACCCAAACCACACATTTATTTTGCAGGGCCAGACCTTGCCCTTGTGTTCAGCCAACCAAGAGTTCATTTTGGCACAGCCAAGGGGTATTTTACAGGGATTCTTAAAGGAAGAAAAGGGGCTCTGCGTAGTAAGGCTGCACCTGGATACCCTGGATGGGATTCCTTTCCCTTCACACCTCAGCCCCCACACAGAGGCACCAACCTCTCCCCAGTGCCTCGAGTGTGAAGGTGGGAAACCCACTGAGACCAGAGCCTAGTGGGGTTCACCTGTCCTGGGTAAAAATGCCCAACTCCTTGTTCCCTGTACAAACGAGGAAAAGGGAGACAGCTCATCTTTTTTTAGGCACCTTCCTTGGGATGAGACAGCTTCCAGCAGTGCTTTCCCCTGTGCACACGAAGCAATCCCTGCACAGGGAGGGTGGTGTCTGTGCTGCTGGTGCTGACATTCAAGCAGACAGAGCAGGAAGCTGGTCCTGAGGTCTCTTTATGAACTCATTATTGACCCCAGAACCTGCTTTTCCACCATGCAGTATGCTGTGGAAAAGTCACAAGCACCCTCAAGGACCATTCACAGCATGGTGCAAAAAGCAGCAGCAGTTCTGCCGCACAAACCAACCAGATCTTCACATGGAGTGATAGATCTGAACTCTTCACATTAGCTTCAACAAAAAGGTTTAACAAAATACTCACAGCTAAAGTGATTTTGCCTAGGATTTCTTCTGGAATAACATCATCTAATACACTATATACATATTTGTAAAACTTATCAAACGAGGTAGACATGAGCTCCATACAGATCCAACAGTCACCCTGGAAAGAGAAAAGAATCTGTGTTACTGCTGAGACAAAAATGAGAAATACAAATCCAGAGAGCATACGGAGATCCCTTGAATCCAATGAAACACACTACATCTGTGCATTTGACAGGAAGGATGGAATTCAGCTTGATTCATTTTAGCAAAGAAAGACTTGCTCCATCCACAGCAGAGGCCCATCTCACACCTGACATTACATTTTAGATGCCTAAATCTGAATGAATCTCGCACACTGTTTGGCTCTCCAGAAGGCTGCAGGCACAGGGAAACACCAGCAGGCACAGTAAGACTAAAACAAAATCCCTTCAGTTTATGGCTGTCCTGCAGAGGACAGAAGACATTTCACACAACATTCAGAGATACCGTCTAAGCAAGAGAAAATGAAAATAAACCTAAGAGTGGGGGGAGATTGTGGATTTGCATCTTACAGCTAAACAATTAAAGTGCAGAAAATTGTAAAATATACCAGAATACGTGTTCAACCAAACCAAGCTGAACTGCCACAGGAGAATAACGTGTTCTTTCATCAAACTCTCCTGAGATCTGTAAATTGAACTGCTCACAGTGGATTTGCTGGGCATGACAAATGGATCCCCACAGCATACTTTAGTGTGTGTCTGCCCTATGGTAGACTGAGAGAGAGCTTAGCCATGCACTGATCCGAGTTATTTCCATTTTTTGGAACATTTTAGCCCCATTGAGGAGGACAGGAGGCTTTCCATGAGCTATTTCTGTAGACTCTCATGCACTTGAGGTAACTCTTTATTGCAGAAATACTAAACCATTAGACTCAGACCTGCCCTCACCAGAAATGACATCCTCACACCTATCTCCTACAGACTGTACCACAGTGAGTGCCCAAACTGCATCAGCTGTCAAAAGCTACATGCAGAACATTCTGGGTGTCTCATCCTGGTTAAACACCACCCCCAAGCCCTCTGTGAGGAGCAGCAGGCTTGTGCAGGCAGTGCTGCCTAGGGCTGAGGGGCAGCCCCAGGCACGGGATAATGTTCTGCTTAGGACAAGCTGCACACTCCTGTGATACAAGAAGTAACAAATAAGAGGACAAATTCTCCAAGTTATTATCCTACAGAAGGCAGATTTTTCCTGACTAAAGCAAACACAAACCAACTCAACTCTATGTTAATACATGGAAATAAAATTAGGAAAAACCCCTAGGATATGGGCATGCTGAAGGAATGGCAAGGGCCCCTGCTCCATCCTACACACCCAAACCACTTCTCAATCTCTGCATCTCAGGAGTGTCAGGAGCAATTCTCCAATTAAATTTATCTGGTGGAAAAGCTTGTAGAGCTGTAGAGGTTTTAAGGCCAAAAAGAGCTTTTCTGCCACTTGGAATGACCTCCTGTGAAACACAAGTAAGGAACTCCATGACCAAGTTGCCTCCAGCCCAAAGATTTAGGTTGAGGGAACAGAAGAGGCCAGCAAAGGTGCTGCCAAACACCACATGCTGGTACGGGCAGAGGCAGTGGTGCCTCTCAGCTTGGCCTTGGGCTGCTCCCACATGAGCAAGGCTCTTCTCAGCTACACAAACAGCAAACTGCCAGGAAGGTCCACGTGCCACCAACATTACAGGTGCTGCTGCTCCAGTGACAGCAAATCCCCCACAGTCTCCTGCCAAAGGAGGGATGCTGACTCCAAAGGACAGCCTCTCCCTTCTGAGAAGAGGGTATCTGCTTTCCTAGGAAGGGCTGAGCCGCTGGTGGGCTGGCTGGAGAAGAAGACTGTGGGTATAGAGCCCTAGGCAGCTCCATTTTACACAGCTCTTTTGGCACCAGGCCTTTCAAATTAGCACAAGGCAGAGCAGGAGCTGATGTCACCCACCCAAGGGAAATGGCTGCTACAAGCCTGAGCCCAGAAAACACTCATTTCACCCAAAAGAAAGCAAAAGGGACTCATGGAATAGGTGCTGTGCCAGACATGGAAGCAGAGACATCACAGTGAAAGAGGCAAGAGCAGTGCAGCAGGAAAAGGGCAGGACCAGCACTTCAGAACACCTGGAGAAAGGTGAACTCGGGCTGCTGGACACCAAAAGATCAGCTGGGGATGAATTCGGTTAAGGAACCATTCAAGTTAAACTGCAGAAGGGAAATGGGGCAACACATGTAGAAAACTTCTCTTTTCAGCACCAACAGCAAAGGCAAAGTGTAGCTGAGGCACTTCCATATGATGGAGAGTGGCTCAGAGCAAGCAACTCCAGAACACCAGTGCTAGTGATGGGCACAAATCAAGCAAGACTGGAAGCCCAACAGAGCCTTACAAACCCTCTGCAGGGAGAGCAGACATGAACAGGCTCTACACTGCTTCTGTTTTGACCAGTTTTATATAAAAAATGGGATGGGGCTGTATTCCCAGGTTATTGTACTGAGACTGTGGAGACTGGACTGGTTGTAGTGCCAGAACAACACTGACCACCTGCAGCCTCATATTTGTGTCCAACTGCACCAATACTGTGAGTGGTTTCAGTTGCCCAGGTTACAACAGCTGGTGTTTGGACAGCAAAACAAACCAAGTGGAGCAGCAGGCAGCCTGAGCAGAGCCAGTATTGTAAAAAAAGCTCCATGTGTACTCTGTGCATCTGTGGGGTTGGGATGAGTGTGGTACTGAAACCTCATATAAGTACAACAAATTGCTATGCAGTGTTGATTTTTAAGCATAAAAAACCTTGTATATGATCAAAGGCACCAAAGGAAAGATCTGGTTTACTTGTCTCCTAAGGCATGTACCATACAGAAATCTTGGATGTGGGCACTTATTGATCTGGTAATATAAAAACCTACCTGACCAACATGAATTCATGTCAGCAAGATCAATGGAAAAAGATAACAGATCTTTTCCATTATGCAGCTCTATTAAGGCTGGTGGCAAGATTCAAAACTCTACAGGTTAACTCTTCCTGGGACTTGGAAAGTCTTACCTGTTGGCAAACTGGTGAATTTTTATGGGAAGAAAAAGGCAGGTTGGCAGGGATGGCAGGGCACTGGGCACCCAGCCCCCTTCCTGACCAAATACCAGGAAGTGCTGATGTCCGTGGGCAAGTCCTGCTCCATTGTGAACTGTGAGAACAAACCCGTCCTAATCAACGTTTCTCTTTAATTTTTGCTCTTAGGTCAGGGTGATTTCCAATTATAAAATGACAGAAGAAGCATTTTAATTTTATTTTTCTCTTCCTGCTAGAGCTATTCTTCCAAAGAATGTATTTTAACCCTTATTGGGTACGAAATCACCAGATGCTAATGCACAACTTGTAGCATTCCAAAAAGTGTCCAGGAAACATCCTGTGCATTTAATTCAAAATATCCCTGCCCAGAACAGACACAAAAGCTGCTTCACCAGCAGTGGGGATGCTTCAGCATCTCAGTGCAGAGCCCTAAGTTTCCAGAGATGTCATTGGAGTGGATCTAGGGGTCCAGGCGGACACTGAGTTGAACATGAGCCAACAATGTGTCCTTGCTGTGCAGAAGGATCACTGCACCCTGGGCTGCATCAGGCGAAGCATCACCAGCAGGTTGAGGGGGGTGATCCTTTCCCTTGATCTGGCACTGGTGAGGCCACACCTGGTGTGCTGTGACCAGTGCTGGGCTCCCCACTGAAGAGTCTCCAACAAAGGGCCACTAAGATGACTGAGTGAAAGGAGAATTTCTCCCATGAGGAGAGCTGAGACTGTTCAGCCTGGAGAAGGTTTAGGGAAATCTCATCCATGTCTCAGGTCCTTATAGGACCTGAGGGGAAGTTGCACAGAGGATGGAGCCAGGCTCTGCTCAGTGGTGCCCAGCACTTCGACCAGGCCACAACCTGCCCCACCTACCACTCTGTGATACAAACACTGAAGGTTTATGGCATCCACACACTGCAGGGAGCAGCCAACTCTTTATGCAAGCTCCACCTGCACTAGTGAGAGAGACAGAAGAATGTCACCACCACCAGACATCCTTATGTGTCACAAAGGACACTTTTCCTACAGACCAGGGACTGGTCAGAGGGACAGATGCATTGAGTAATGGCAACAGAGCCAAGGATGTCCATAGAAACAGGGTGTTGTGCATCAACAGCAAAGAGATCAAACTGAGCAAGGCTATGTCTACAATTCACAGCAGCATCAGCACTGTGCTGTCAACACATCCATCCCAGCTCTTCTCTCTTGCCAGCAGAAGTTCTTCACAGGCTGATTTATGGCTTCTCAGGCACTTTTGTAACTTGCAATGAAATTTTCATCAAATAATTTTATCAAGAATTGAACTTGTTGGTTTAAACTTGGTTTGGCTCCACTCGCACTCTGCAGGAGTCACTCCTGAGATTCCAAGTCAGACAAGGCTCCTTTTCTCTCCCCCTCTTGAGAAGAAAAGCAACAGGAACAGGTACTTTGAAGAGCCATTAGTGTGGTCACAGTAACTACTCAAACATTGCCAGCCTTACAGCTACTGTCTCAAACCAGAGTAGCTGTAAAGCTTTTGAAAGACATGCAAGAAAAGAAGACTGTTTTTTTCCCTCAGACCTAAAAACCCTCTAAACAGCAACATTCAGAGCCTTCTTCCCCCACCAAGCAAGTGCAGGTTTGAGAGGAAACAAGCAGCCAGATCCTCTTCACTGAGCATTGCTGCTGACTGATGGGGACACTGTGCACTGCCAGAAGTCCAGCATGGAAAAACCTTGTGGGGCCAGTGTGAACCTCACAAAGTTCAACAAGGACAAGTGCAAGATTCTGCACGTGGGTCAGGGTAGTCAGCAGTATAAATGATGAAGGGATTGAGAGCAGCCCCGAGGAGAAGGGCTGGGAGATACTGGTGGATGAAAAATCGGACATCAGCTGGTAACATGTATTTGCAGCCCAGAATGCCAATGTGTCCTGGGCACAGTGCACTGAAGCCCCCCGACTCCATGCAAAGGAGTCTTCTACTTTTTCAGCTTTGTTCCTGTTTGATTAAAAAGGCAATTTAATCTCATCTAGTGGGTGCAATGAACTCAAGCGAAGTC